GCTGGGAAAACTACCATCCTGTACAAACTGAAACTGGGCCAATCTGTCACCACCATCCCCACCGTAGGCTTCAACGTGGAGACGGTTACTTACAAAAACGTCAAGTTCAATGTGTGGGATGTCGGAGGCCAGGACAAGATCCGTCCCCTCTGGAGGCACTACTACACGGGCACGCAAGGGTTGATCTTTGTGGTGGACTGCGCCGATCGTGACCGCATCGACGAGGCCCGCCAGGAGCTCCACCGCATTATCAACGACAGGGAGATGCGGGACGCCATCATCCTCATCTTCGCCAACAAGCAGGACCTGCCTGATGCCATGAAACCCCATGAAATCCAGGAGAAACTGGGCCTGACCCGAATCAGGGATAGGAATTGGTATGTGCAGCCCTCCTGTGCTACTACAGGGGATGGACTTTATGAAGGGCTGACATGGTTAACATCCAATTATAAATCCTAATGAGAGAATAACTATTTAGTCTACAAAGAATTAAAGAAAAAAAAAAAAAAAACCCCACATGGCTTTCCAGAAGAATGATTCTCTACTGAAAAGTAAAACAAAAGCATCCATAGGATTATGATCAACTTTCTCCAGTTACCACCCTTTCCTTCTGCACACTTGACTGGATTCCTGTTTTAACTCTTCTTGCTTGGCGTTAGGATGCTCTAATCTCCAAATGTGACACGAACACAAGCACTAGATGCTATGGCAGACTTCCAGCAAACAGGGGAAAGACACATTGTAGACTTGCTAAGTAACCTTTTTTTTTTGTTTTTTCCTCTTGATAGCCCTTAAGATGGTTTGGTTATTTTGGGGATGGTTGGGGGAGGGGTACCATTTTCAGTGTATGCTTTCTGGTTCTACTTTTTTGATTATATATTTTTTTTCTTCTTTCACTTGCTGTAGATTGCTACTTTTTTGCATTCATGCAGAATATGTTGATAGGTCTACGTCATCTAGTAAACTGAAAATTATTGCTTAAAATCAAACTGCAGTCTGTCTTTTTATATTAAGGACTTTTTTTAAAAAAGTTCTGTTAACCTGTAACTAGATAGTGGCTCTCGGTCTGTCTTCATATCTCAGACTACTAATGAAACGAATCCTTGCCTCAGTGGCAGATAGTGAGAATACCATTGTAACATGTTCAAAGTGCATATCAAGCGTAATGTTTGCTAGGTAATGTAAGAACTGCTTTGAAATGTCAGCTGTGAAGTTCTGAACCATACATCATGCATGAGAAAGGATGCAAATAAGTTCCCCATACTACATAGCAATCATATAGCAAATAAGACATGAATGATGTAATAGTTCCAGGGTAGTTACTGTTCAGTTTTTGTCTTGCATTGCAAACTTAATGTTTAGCTGCAGTTTTTACTACTCATGTCAGTCTCCAATTCAATGCAAGAGAGGTTCCTTCCATAAAATGCAGCAATAACATGTAAGCATTGCAGCAAGTTTTACTCTAAATTGCAGATGTTTAGGTAAAAATCTAGTGATGACTTGCCTGTCTTGTGATCGAGACAAATGGCTTTCATCTCAAGGCAGCTGAAGACATCTAAATATTAAAAGGATTTCTCATTCTTTCTGACATGCATGTAGTGGAGAGAAGTTTTGGTTTGGGATTTTTTTTTTTGTTTCCATTTTGTAGACTTGCGAAGGGGCAAGTTCCGTGCTAAGCTTTAATTGAGCTCAGTAATTCTGACATCTGAATAATAACCATTTTGAGGGAATTGTTACTGGTTTAGTTTTCCAAGACTCGACTGAACTCATGCAAGTATTTGCAGTCTTTGCCATCTGTCTCAGTTGTTGCTGTAGTCCTGTAGGAAGGGAACTATGTTGGATGTCTGAAGCCCATTGACTAGCTACTAATGAGAGCTGGGAGGGGAGAGAGAGAGTATATGACTATGAATGTAAACTTCCATAATTAGTTCTTAAAGGGCAAGCAGCTCATTTGCCATATCACAGTTTGCAGATGTGACTGGCAAAAAAACCCCACCCAGAACAAGTATTAGTGTAAGAACTCAATCAAGTATTAATGCTGGGTGCAAAAAATGTTAAAGCAGCTGGTTCTTATTCAGCCTTAAGGATTAACTTCATATTTCCTCAAGGAGTTAAACTCGATTGGGGAATTCTAGGAATGTATGCTACAAAACCAGAAGAAAATGGCTTTTTTTTTCTTTTTTTTTTTTCTCCAAGGATCTGAGTTTTACATGAAATTGGGGGCATTACACTACAATTCTGCAGTGTTGACTCTGCATGCTAAGTACATTGTATATGGAGCTCTTACCAAAGATGTATGGGAAGATAAAAATACTGAATTCACTTCTGAAATGGAATGCTTTGGACCACTTAGAAGTTCCTTTAGAATATGGTTCCAAAACACTTACCTTGATGTGGGTTGCAAATGGAACTGAATGGGTTCTTGACACTGGAAGATAGAGCACTGATTGACTGTAAGCCTTTGTGAGTTAGAGTCTGCTAAAGATTTGGTGTGGAATAACTCTTCAGTATCAGCTCTGAAGAAGAGGAGGTGAGGGATTTTTTCCACTCAAGGCTTTTTGCCATTGGAATATCATTGCTCTATTTTCTAGCTGCCTTTTTTTTTCCTTTTTTTTTTTTTTCTTTTTTTCCTGTTGATGTAACTTAACAAATAGTGTGGTGGTATAAAGACTAAAAATACAAGAATATGGTTACTGTTTTCTTCTGGAGCATAAATAAAATAGCCAAGCACAAAGTAAATGCCTAAACTGGAAAACTTGAAGCTCTATTAATGGTTCTTGAACTTTCTTAAATCTATTCTCAGTCAACATGGAAACTTCAATAACTTCATTCTTCATCTGAGTTGATTTACTACATTTTCAAGTGCTGGGGCAGACTTCTTTGCTAGACTTTGCATTAAGTTGAATTCACAATTTTGTATTTCCTTAGTAACTTTGTTATTCTGTTTTTGTAGGTGAAAGGAAACTGATTATGCTTCTGATTTTTCTTTTTTTTAAATGTCTCTTTTTGGGGGCGTTGAGGGGGGAGAACAAGTTACTGAACTGTGTGGCAGAAACGTCAAAAATAAATGGCCGTTGCTACTGAACAAAGTATAAAGGTTTCACCTTCAACATGTCCTTTATAGGTTGTAGCTGAACCTCACCATGAGCTAGTGGCTCTCGGGCAGTGAACATAGCCTATAGGATGAAGTGGCAATCTGTAAGAAATCCTGTGATTTAAAAACTGATCTGGAGTTTAAAGTGCATCAATCAATTTGTGTTCATGTGAATTTATGGAGTAAGTTTTGAATGGCGTTAATCATGTCTGATAAGTGAATGAGTCTGTAGACTGTGATCTCCCTGACTAAAGTAAACAGGAATTTTGTGTTCTCAATATGGCTGTAGTGTTGGTAAAGAACTAATAAGCAGAAAATAAAGCAATTATACAGCGGAGCTCTCCTGGTATGTTACTTACACTTAATTATGAGAGAAACAGAAAGGGGCAATATGGTGCTGGCATAGTGTTCTGCCGGCATAAAGAGGTCTCTGTTCTGTATCTCAGTTTTGAAAGCCTGTCTGTAATTCCTTTGAGACTTAGAGTAGTGACTATTTTTATAAGTGGAAAGGATGATACTTTAATACTCCCACTTGCAGTTAACAATCTTTAACAAACTTTAGCATTGGATTTATACTGCCCGGGCATTGGCCCTGTGTAACTTGGGCAGGTGGCAGCTCTGTGAGGGCACAGAGGGACGGTTCATGAGTGGGACGGTGCTGTGTTTCATGGGAGAAATGACTCGGTCAGAAAGGGAAGATGTTAGGCCAGTGCAGAAAATGCAGCAATGGTTGATGAGTGAATAGGGGTGCTTGTGGAGTGACAGATGTGGAGTTGGGATGTCTTTGGTGCTTGAATAGGACAGAAGTGAGTGGATAAAAGGACTTTGGCAGGTGCAGTGGGGAATGCGTTGTGGGGGGCAGGACCTGAGCAGCAGGCTGGGTGCATGCAGCAGGCCACGGTTCCTGCAACAGCTGCCAGTCTGCAGGCCTGAGGAAGGGCAGTGGAGCACCAGGAAGTACTCACTGACCCCAGCGCAAAGCTGTGCTGTCAGGCAGGGGCTTTGCTGTCAGAGGGCATGGCACAGGGTTTGAGGGAACTCCCACTTGGAACTGTCTCCTTGTTGGCAAAGCTTTCGGGAATTGCCAGGAAATGTTTTTCAGCCAGGTGGGAGTACCTGGGTGCAGGGCGGGGGGGAGATGTCCACCGCAGCTATGATCCTCTGCAAAGCCTTTTCTGCAGGGTATGGAGGCTGGGCTCCGTCTACCTGAATGTCAGTTAAGGGTGTGGCTGTGTAAATGAACTTACTCTGACTTAATTAAACTACTTGGAGTTTGGAGACGAAGCTCCAGAAGAGTAAACTCATGTCTCTTTCATTGTAGTAGTTAGTCATTTTTCAGAGTGTCAGCACTTACCGGTTTAAATCGGACCTTTGTTACAGCAGCAGTTAGCGTGACTCCGGAGAGCACCCTTCCTGAATCGCACCGTGACTCATGCTGCAGCAGGGCTTTCCTCCCCCAGCCACAGGGCCCTGGTCCTCATAGACAGGGCTTGGAAAAAATGCGCCTGCCATCTCTAATTGGAAATTAACCCTGCTAATACATAGCCCTCCCAAAGGAATGGTTCTTGGTTTAAAAGAATATAATGAATTGCATCGTCAAAGCAGCTGGCCACAAGATCTGCGGTATCTGGTCGCTGCTCTGATGGACCCTGGAGTGTTGTTTCCCATGTTGCTGGGAACTGCAAACAGGAGAAGTGACTGCCGAGGGTGGAGATCTTACTCTGGAGTGTGGAAGCAGCCTTGGTGTGGGCACCATGACTCGGACTTCCTGCTAACGCATGGTTGTGCTTTTTATCTTGGATTTGTTCCTAATACCTGTCAGCCTGAAGGGCTCAGTGTGTGGATCTGGAATCACCTTGGCTTTGGTGCTTTCTGGAAAATAAAGCTTTCCCCTCGCCTTGTGGGGAAGCGTCAGCTTTCAGGGGCTGTTGGTGAGTTAGTGTCATCTCCACTTACTAACTCTCTTCCTCTTCCTGAGCACGACACTGGCACCAGAGTTGCTCGGGTTAAAGAGTTATGTCTGAGCAGACACGCTCAGGACTTAGGGCCGAGGTGGATGACTTGAGCACCACAGTCAATCTCACTTTCAAACTCTGGAGCACTACAGAGTAATTTTAGCCCTACTGTCAGTTCTGAAGGGGTGAAGCGGGTGAGTCAGAGCCCTGTGGTGCTCGACAGCAGCGAGGGGTGCGTCCCTGACAAGCGCCTGCCGGGAGCTTGTGTGAAAGGCGGCTTTTTATAGGCAGTAAACTGGGTATGTGGTGTCTTGTCCAGGAAGTCGCTTTTCTCTTGCTTAAGAACAGGTATCTCTGGCCTCCTTAAACAAAAGAAAGGGGGGAAAAAAAAGTAAGATGTGAGTCATCTGCTGAGTTCTCCAGCCTGATTCTCACAGGGGTTTAACAGGCTCTTCACCTCAAGAGAAATGTTTTTCCTTCCAGAGGATGCACCTCTCTCCTCTGTTACTGGCTGCTTTAGTTGCAGCTTCTAGGACAGCATTAGTTAGAAAAAGTACTTAAGCAGGATTTAATGGGTATCTGGTTTGTGAGAGATGGAGATTGATAGCGCTTGGAGATGGGTAACACTTGAAACACTTTGCTTTCCTTAGGAGTATTCAGTTAAGGGGGTTCAACCAGCAACTCATGGCTCAGTGTAGATACCCCTTGTCCCCCAGCTGCCTTCCAGACTTGGTGCAAACTCACTTGGTGGTTGAAAAGAGGATGAAGCCGAGGTATAGATAATGGGCTGAACTCTTTAAGTTATTTTGGTGTCTGTGCCTAGAATTAATACCTTGTGTGAAATACAATGGGGATGATGCTGCTGGGGCCAGGCACCCACTTCATCCTGAAGTTTCTTTCCAATGGAGCAGAAGGGGAGTTTTTTTGTCTTGTCATTGCAGGAGAAGAAAACTTGTGGAAAGCTGCACCAAACCCCTGCACTGTGTGCCAAGTTGTTTGACTGTTTTATGGGAGTGCACTCTTATTTCACATTTTGGGAGGGGAAAAGTGAAAGACCTCCAGACAGCTTATGCTACATTTGGCTTTCCTACACCAGCCTGTAGCCTCTGTGGTTCCAGGAGAGTAGGGCAGGCGGGTGGGCTGCTGGCAGACCTCGGCAGCGAGGGAAGTGTTTTCCCAGCCTTAACTAGGACTGCTTGAGAAGACTTTACTGCTCTTTGTGTGCCTGAGCTGCAGCGGTGCCTGTCCCTGAGCCTGTGAGGGTCCATCAGAAGGTACATCATGGGGAGAGGCACAGGCAGCCGGCCTCCAGCACCTGCCTGGATCATCACTCCTGGGGACAGAGGAGTGGAGGGATGTGTCAGACCCAGCACCAGCCTCGGAATACCCCTGGCATACATTTGAATCTGGTATTCGAAGAACAAACATGTTACATGAAGGGCGGGAGTTACACGGGTTTGCAGTGCTGGGATAAGGCTGCAAGGTGGAACCAACAGTGGTGCCAGTGCCTGGTGCTGATTGCTCATAGCTTCGAATTCGGAAGTCACATTTGCTTGGCGTACTTTCTTGGAAGGAGACTTTGTACTTTGAGCGCACGGAACATGGGATTGTGTAGTCCTTGTGCTCTTAATAGTTGCTGCTTTTGCCTCGAGAAGCTTTCTACATATATTTTTTTCTATATACATTCCTTTTGAAAACAGGAGGCTGTTGTGGAGCAGGCACTAACCCCGTGGCTTTTAACTTTCAGCTGCCACCCATCAGCAAACTGAGGGGTGCTCATACAGTTATCCCATTAGCTTAACATCTGCCAGAATGCCCTTTCCCCACAGGGGCTAGATTAGTCTGGAACTGACCCAGCTCTCCAGGAAGCTTTTCCTATCACATACTTGTGGCTTTCAATCTGCTGCCCTAACTGTAACCAAACCCAGCGCCTGCCCTTCGCTGTAGAGCAGGAACTTTTTGCAAGCAAAGAACTAATTTGGCTCTACCTTTCCCTCCAAAATCAGTTTGTCTGTTTAAGTGTTAAATTGCATCGTATTTAAATGTTCACATTGCATCCTATATATCACATAGATACTCATATTTTTGATGGCAAGGGTTGTTTCGGCTGCAATGACCAGCACTGGACTGGTTTTCACATCAGTGCCAAGAACAAAAGCACTTCAAGGGGAAGGTGAGGAGCAGCAGCAGGACAGATGCTGCTGGTGTGCTTGATTTCTTCTTGCTGCCTGATACAAAGGTTTGGGACAAGCTTCCCCAGCACCTGCTTGCTGGAAGCTGAGCCAAGCTCAGCAAGGGCCAATGTGAAAGTAGCTGGCATCCGGCTCTGCATTGTAGAAGGCATTGAATTGCTGCCAACGAGCTGTCCCTGAATCTCGCTCCGGCTCATCTTACAACCTTGGACTAGTTAATGAATTCAAAGTCCTCCAGCCCTTGCCTCCACACACCCTGAGTATGTGGTGTGTGTGAGCCAGGGTCACCATCAGCTGGGCTGGGATGCTGCGGTCTGGGTGCTGGTGATGCTCCTGGGCTGCTCCTGCCAGCTTCCTGCTGCTGCAAAGGCACCTTTCTGCCTCGCGCCTGCTTCTGGCCACCTTTGCTGCAGTTTTCTGGCCCTCTTAAGGGCGGGATGGGAATATTTCAGACCAGGGCAGTGATACGTTCTCCCTTAAGTAATGTTGTCTGCAGCCTTGCAGCTGAAATTCCAGGATCTCAGCTCCTGCCTTACCAGTTTGTCCGATACCTAATGAAGACATAATCTTCTGCATCTTCTCCTTGATACAAAGTTACACTCCTAAACACTGTACCAAAGCTTCCCAGCTTTTGTTTCCATCATGGACCTTATTAATGATTTATGAAGGGGGCTGCATCTTCCCATGAGGGTCAGCTGAAGCTTTTCTACCTTTTTTGAAGTTGCCCATGGGTTTCCCTTAGCCAGGGCCTCCAGGTCATAGCCTGAAGTCCCTTGCTCAGCACTATGCTTGCTGTTGCTTATGGTTGTCTCCCTACCATGCCAGTGTCACACCAGCCCCACTGTGCTGTGACTGTGCGCTGGGGGAGAAGGGGCTCCACAGCTTCTCCTTCCCTTCTTCCAGGCTCTCTAGCAGCTCCTGCTCCTGGTCCTCCCGGAAGCGCTCCAAGTAGTGAAACTGGTTAATCACATTGACGCTGGAGGAATGCTGGCATCTGAGCGGGATCTGTGGATTAACCCGTTCCACCTGGTGTTTGCCAACTTCTCGGCAGCCTGATGCATTATTCAGCGGCTGAGCTGCTTTTGGTCCTTTGGAAAAACTGGAGCTTCCCAGCACTTGAGGGTTTTATGAATTGATGTCTCTGCTCCGAAGCTCGCAGCTTCCTCCTGTCTTGGATTGCTAATGAACACCGAGACCCAGAACGTTTTGCTGCCGGTTCCTGTACTCTGGCGAGGAGGCTTTGGCAAGCAGGCTTACTCCTGAGCAGTAACCCACTCCCAGTGACTGCCTTGAAAAAGAAGGTGCTACTTAAGGCATTGGATCTGAGGATGTGTTTAACGTCTGCCAACTCCACAGCATCCCCAGGTTGTCAAAAATACGTGCCGCAGCACCGAAGAAGGCTCCAGGACAGCCACACTGCAGTGTGTGGGTATGAACCAGCCTGCTTCCAAACCTGCAGTTCAAGCCAGGGCGCTTGCAGATGAGAGATAGGGAGGGTGAAGTGACTAATGAAGAATAAATATCCTGTTGGACCCTTCTCATAGGCAGTGATGTCTCAACACACCAATGGCAGATACAGGGAAGTAGGAGGGAGGCACAGTGGGTTCCATCAGCCCTGGTTTTCTTTTGTCTACAGGTGTAGGAGAAAATGGTAAAAAGCAGAAGCTGTAGTGGCTGGGATGCTCCTGGGGGAGACGGGGGATGGGGGTCAGAATGAGGGCTGCATGGAGGGTGGTGGGGATGGGACAGCACCAGGCAGAGAGGCAGAGCAGTCCCTGAAGGGAGGCTCTCTTCCTCAAATATGATTATTTCCACTGGTTTCAATGGCAAAACCTGGATTGCTGCATCCTTTCCCATGCTCAATGACACCCTTTGAGTTTATGCCAGTGGAAGGCACTTGCAGGGCCATCAGGCTGGGGACAATTTCCATCTTCTCTGATATTTCAAGGTACTGCAGAGTAGTTGTTGTCAGAGCTTGTTCTTCATTTTGGAAACATCATTGAAATTATGCAAATGCTGGTGCAGCACCGGCGAGTGACTGATGCACTTAACGCCCCAGCGCAGCACCACTCCGAGGGGAAGCTGGTTTAGCACAAAAGCCCTGCACTGCTCAGGGAGGGGATCAGCCCCACTCCTGTCACAGCTCCTGGTCCCACCAACGCCTGTCCCAAGTGTTTGATCCTGCTCTCACAATGCTCAGAGCACAGTGCAGAGCTCGCTACATCCATGCTGAGCACCCAATGCTTGGAGCACTGACACTGTTGCTCAGCCACCCCGGCATCGCTAAAGGCTGTGGTGTTCGGGGTCTGGGGCTGCGTTGGGCATGTGGGGTGGTCGAGCTTGTGCAATGCTGACTTGGGGAAAGCAGAAGCTGGAGTACAAGGCCTGAGGGGCCAGAGCAGAACTCTCCCTGCGGGGCTGCTCTTTGGGATGCAACCCTACAGAAACCCCACCTGCCCCGACACACGGTGGGGCACAAGTCCGAGGACGGTGCCCGGATCCAGTTCCTATTCAGACCTGTGATACAGTTCAGACGTTGCCCTGCTGACCTGGCCCTGGGAAGGAGCAAGCCCCGGCTGGGTGAGGTGCTCACGGCCACCCTTTGGCTGGGCGGCACCGATGCTGTGCCAGTGCTTGACACTTCAGTCATGACAGCCAGAGGCGGGAAAGGTGACTAATAAAGAACAGGCTTGTGGGAGGAGCTGTCTTGGTGGCATCTTGATAGTGGTTTTGGAGCAGGATCCTGGGAGGAGCCCTCGTGGTACACAAAGTCCTTCTGCAGAGAGATTTGCAAGAGGGAGGAGAGTTTTGCCAAAGTAAAAGCACTTCCCCCCCCTCCATCTAGGCCTTTCCAACCGCGCATCCCTCAGCGGTTCCTCTTTTAGCACCACGTCTCCTAAAAAAAAAAGTGTTGACTGCAGCTTTTCTGGAGGCTGCAGCGCTCTCACGTTGGATAACGCACAGCTTTTCCCCGGCCTCCTTCCCGTGGCAGTTCTTGGGCTCAACGCAATCTTTTCCGGTCTGATCGCATGGCCAAGGAATGTATGTGCATATACAGTGTGTGTCTGGAGTAAGTTAAGTGCCAACAGCAAGGCTTTCGTGAGCAGCATGAAGGAAAAAATGATGCTCAGGTTGCTGCTTCCCCTTTGGATGTGGGACATCGATCCGGCAGGTGACGGTCTGCTCCGTCCCAGCCTCAGTGTCCTCCTCCTCCTCGGACATCCCAACCTCCTCTCGCCTGCATCACGGCTGCACAGCAGAGATTTCTGCCTCTCCACGGTCAATAAAATCTTTGCCAAGTGGAACAAAAATGCTAACTCCGGTTGGCTTGGAAGGTAATGCTGGCTAATAAATAAACGGGGCTGAGAAAAACCCCCGGGGTGATCCAGTGTTGCAAACAAGCATGTCATTCAGCGCTCCCTGCGAGACACTGCGGGAGGGTGCAGAGGGTGACGATAGTAATTAAGAAAGCAATTAATACTAGATGGGAAGCTGCCTCCCAAAGACACAAGGAAATCCAGACTACAGCTGTGCTGGCATTGCTTGTCCTGGCAAAGACCCTGCCCGTGCTAGAAGGGGGTTGCACGTGGCACATTCGTTTGTGGGCTCCTGGTCCAAGTGCCGGGTTGGGGGGTTGTCATCCCCCAGCAGGTCCAAGACCTCTCCATCAGCTTTGGTGTGATCTGTGCTGTCCTCTTCATCCTACCAAAATGTGTCTGGAAAGTGCCAGCTGGGGTGGAGGAGCAGGGGGACCAGCAGCTCTTTCCCACTGATCCAGAGCAGTGGCACAAGCTCCCCGAGCATCTTTCCACGCCAGCTGCTTTGTCAGCTTGTAGCGCTTGGAAAAAAGAACGGGATGATGTTGCTGTAGCAGAGCCAACATCTAACACACTCAACTTGGCTGCGTCCCGTGTGTGGGGCCGTGGTCAAGCACAGCGCTGGATCCAGACTACCTTTAAATGGAGATCTAAATGAGATCTAAATCTAATTCCGTACACTGGGGGTGAGCTCACCCACCCCCTGCTCCGCGCTGCTGATGGCAAAACATCACACTGCCGGAGACAGCCGCTGTGGCCCGGTGCAGCAGCACCAGCACTGCTTGTGCCAAAAGGCATGTCAGAGGGTCTCCATGTGTGTGTGGACCCAACCCAGTCCCTGTGGTGACAAATGAAGAGGAGAGTGGCTGGGAAAACCAGCGGCAGAGCAGAGGTGCAGTGGGGGGGACCCCCTTCTGTACCTGCCCCTGCCATGGGTGTCTGTCTGTTCTTTATGTTCACATCTCCCACTGTAATGTCCTGCTGGCAACAACACGCAAACATGGAAACCGCCAAAATGCTGCTTTCTGCCTTTGCATGCTTTGAGAACAAAAAAACCCCAAACCCAAATGGCTGCTGCTAGCTTAAATTGCAAAGGTTTATATATATTGGTGTTTGAAGGATGCCCAGCTAAAAGCATCCCCTTCTTGGGATGCTTAACCACTGCTGGTGTCTGCAGAGAACCTGGCACTTGCTCAAACTACAGAGGAGATGGGGATGTCTGTGAGCCAGGACTGCAGAGCCCAACCTGGTCCTGCACAGACTTCCCAAACACGAGGCCAGTGATGCCTGTATGGACCCAGTGTTTTAATCTGTGGCAAAACTTCTGCACTCCAGCCACAGCACCTCATTTTTTGCTTAAGCTAAAGCCTCTTTATGCTGCTAGATGGCTTCTGGGGAGGGCACGGTAAGGAAAAAGGGCTCTGAGATGGCTTCTGGTGCTGTTGGGTGATTTTTCTGGGGGCAGACATGGCAGCCTCACGGGGTTTGTGGTAGACCCAGGCGCTGGATCTGCGCGCTTCTGCCCTTTCTTTACACGAGTGTGAATCCTTGGAAGCAACCCCCGACCTCAGCAGCCCTGTCTTCCCAGCAGCAGCCTTTGTCTTTCCAAAATATCCCCCCAAGAAAAGCTCTCACAGCTCAGGCTGCCCCAACAGCATTTGCAGGGCGTTGCCTGAAGGCTTTTCCACTGAATTATATATAACAAACACTTGGGTTTGGGCTGATGGTTTGTTTTTTTTTTCTTGGAAGGAAATCTGTTGCCAAGCGATATAGCTGTGGCCCTGCTTTCTCCTCCCAAACCAAGACCTGAAAGCACGTGTGCGTCTGCAAATATCTAAGACACCCAACGTGGGGTCGCCAGAGGCTGGATCGCAGGTATCTGGTGGAAAAGTCATTGGAGGGGTTGGGAGAAGGTTTTCCTTTTGTTTTCCAGAGTCTGAAAAGTTGGAAGTGGACAGTTATTTGATCCTGGAGACTACAAGAAATATGGGGGATCCTGAGAAACCCTCAGGGGTCCTACAGGGAGGGCAGCTGCCAGCTCTCCCCATGGTTTTACATGTATCGTGTACAATCTCCTGCACAGCCTGTGGTGTAAAAACATCTGGTTTTCCCGCAAAAGAAGGATGCTGTGATGCATGGACCAGCCCTGGCCCAGACCCCTTGTGTGTATGGGGTGTGTGTCAAATCTCAGCTGCAAACCAAAGAGCAAACATCAGAGCCTGCAATCGCGCCGCTCCTCAGTCAATGGTGCCCACGCGACACCAGTGGGTGGAGATTAACAAAAGGGTCAATATTGACCCACGTCCCACATTCAGGAGGCTGACAGTGCCCATCTGCCTCCTTGGGAAAGCTCTGGTGGGAATGGTGGCACTGACCCCATGACTGTGGCCCCAGTGCCAAGGAGCATCACCCGCACTGCAGTCCTGGGTGGGCCACCACGGACAGCCAGGCTGACACCCCAAAACACAACGCAGAGGGTTTCACACACAGCAAACCGGAGGGATACCAAGTTTTCCTGATTTTAATCCCAGCTGTCCGGCTTCAGCGGGAAATCACAGCGGCATGCTTTCCTCATTAACCTCCATCATATTTTCCAGACAGCCTCAGTCTGCAACGCTGTGAATTAGAGTTATTCTGCTTTCTCAGCTGAGGTTGCTGAAGGAGCATTGA